ATGTTGGGTAGTGGGATGAAGGAGGGACTGTTGGGTAGTGGGATGAAGGAGGGAATGTTGGGTAGTGGAATAAATGAGTATATGTTTGGTAGTGGGATAAATGGACAGATGTTGGGTAGTGGGATGAATGAGTAGATGTTGGGTAGTGGAATGAAAAAGAACATGACTAAGGTCAGACATAACAATAGTAGATGATCTTATTTCAGGTGGGGGTGGGTGGGTGAAGTGAGAAAGGACTGAGTCTTAAAGACAGGAATAAAGAAGAAAGAGATTCTAGGAAATCACAAGAATTATTACTGTTGCAAGAGTGAGTAGGAAGAGGTGAATTTTGGGTAGGGTATACAGATATCTTCAGAGGTAAAAGTAGGACTATGCTAAGGTTTTTGATAGTATGATGGGCAGCTGTCTTATTTAGGGTTTCTATTGCTGTGTAGGAACACCATGACCATGGCAACTTTTATAAAGGAAAATATTTTAATTGAAGCTAGCTTACAGTTCAGAGGTTTAGTCCATCCTTGTCATGGAAGGGACCATGACAGCATACAGGCAGACATGGTGCAGGAGAAGGAACTGAAAGTTCTATAACCAGATCAGATCGGCAAGCAGCAGGAAGAGAATAAGCCACTTCCTTAAACAAGGCCAACCTACTCCACCCTGGCTACACCTACAATTGTACCACACCCTATGGGCCTATGGGATAATTTTCATTCAAAATACCACAGAAGCCATTGGTGATACCAAGTAGGGATCTGAAGTGTTGAACTCACATTTGAATGAGATTATCTGGCTGGTGCAGGGGATGGGTCCATGGTGAGAAGCAGAGACACGCCTAGGAAAGCATGTTGATGATCCCAGTGCCTGAAGATGGCAGTCTGAATGGGGACAGCGGGTACAGCAGTGAGAATAAGTAGTAGAATATGGTATATATTTTAAAAGTACATTTGTAGGACTTTTTTTTTAAAATTCCATACACAAATGTGAGAAAGAAAATGCAGGGATGACGTAAAAGATTTTGGCTTGAACAATTGAATGAGTGAGCAGCTGGGTGCTGGCATAAAGGGGGTGAAAAAAAGGTCTGGGGATGTTGTCTAGTTTTGGATGGGACCTGCTTAAGTGAGAAGTGGCTTTGAGTGATACATCTTGGTATATGATGGAGCTTGGTATATGCAGCTAGGGTTAAAGGGAGAGGGAGGAAGCTGTAGGCTGTGGACCTCTCTGCATATGGAACTGTGCTGACAGGAGGCTGACAGACAGACGCTATTCCTGGTCCCTGACAAAGCTGTTTTCTGCATAGGTGAGTGCTGGCTATGATGTTTGCCACTATCAAACACAACGTAACACAACCTTGTTGCTTTACAGTGTAAGTCTGGGCAAGTGATTCCTGGATTAAAAGTAGGCTGGATTCTTAGTTTCTTTCCTTAGGTATGTGAAGACAACCGAGAATACTATGTATTGTATTCAATCTCTATGGAGGTATCAATGTATCCTAAATGTGCCAATGGGATAATTTTGGAATATGTGTAAGAGCTACACTTAAGAGATATTTAAAAATTTAAATTCTAAAGAGCTCCCCAGGCTACCTTTATTTGTTTGAAGGGCGCCTCAAGGTCATCATGCCTAGTTTAGATTCAGGATAAATCTAAAATCACTCTCACCTGCCATAGCCTGACTTAACTGCTGTCTAACCCCTCTTCTCTTCTGGTGATTTCAATATTTAATTTCAGGGGTTGTGAATGCTGTGGGAGAAACTCTTAGGGTCATACATTTGACACCACAAAAGGACATCTGGGGACACACTTGTGTGGCTCTTTATCTTTTTCCCCGTCATTCTTCCATTCAGCTATCGGTGTCTAAAGGGTCTGTACGTCATAGTGAAATGGCTCATGTAGTGAAGGATGGATGTGAGGAACATAGTAATGTATTTAAACATGTCTGCTATGTTGTTTGGCTTTCTCTTTATTTATATATGTTCCACATACATGTCAGCATTCACTTGTATTTGACAAAACTTGACTTTTAAAAATTTGATAAACATCGGCTTCTGGTGACGGTTGTTGGAACTGAGGTGTCCTTCCTTAGCCCCTCTATCTCCCTCCTCTCTTCCGTTTGGGTGTTGGCAGCCCAGCGGGTACACTCCTCTTTCTGTGTCTCTCGTTACTCCGCACTTTTACAGTAGAGGTCAAAATTTAGTTTTTACTGGTCCACTGAAGACTCGGTAGGTAGGGTGGAGCCTGTGGGGCTGGGGAGATCATCCACCAAATTTAATTAGTTTTTACTGGTCCACTGAAGACTCGGTAGGTAGGGTGGAGCCTGTGGGGCTGGGGAGATCATCCACCAAGTTTAATGAAACTGGGAAACAAAGTGTCTTTCAGTTTATTTATTTTTTTTAATGTGGGTAGCCGTCATATTAAGAGAAGAAAATTTCTGTTATTGGAGTTATTTTTTCCAGAAACAAGCAACTGGAAGAACACACCTAGCTGCAGTTCACCTGGCTAGCTACCTACACTATCTCTGTCTTCATTTTGCCCTTGAATACCTTATTTTGTCATATCTCATAGTGATTTATTAGCAACACATGGAATTACCTGGGATGATTATATAACGTTTGTCTCCTTTTAAGAATTTATAGTTCAGGCATTTGAATTATATGAATGCTTATGAAAATCTTATGAATGGGATAGTGTATACAAATGTGTGCACGGTGTACTTTTGACAGGTGGAGACCCAAACAACCCCTATCTACCGTCACATTTCTTCAGTGTGGTAAGCTGCCAGGGCTGCAAGGATTATTTTAAAACCGTGTTTACTGGCTGCCACTCTGGTACCAAAAATAAACTGGTCCAAGGGTGCTGAGTGAGAGGACATTCCTGGAAGCCGTGTCATCTGAAGCCATTTGTGACAAAGCATTCTTCATTTCTTTCTTTCTTTCTTTTTTTTTTTTCAACTTCATCCAAGCCACACTGATAGATGTCAAAAGACCTGGGTCTTTGCCTTTCTTTTCTTTGATTGCTCCTCCCTTCCTTGCCCGTCTCTCTTTTTCCTTTTTAAAAAAGGCAAGTGGATAATTAAAAGTTTTACTTAAGCTTGTATTTTTGCTCCACTACTTCAATTTTGTTAACTGGACTCAGAGACACAAAACAATCCACATACTACAGAACTGCTTTAAAGAAGATGAAGAAAGGATTGGATGTGAATGCTGGCATATGTTCATGTGCCCCACACCCTGGCCCGCACACACACACACACACACACACACACACACACACACACATTGAGCTGTGAAAGCCGAAGTCAGTTAAAAGTCCTTTAATAGGCCGATGACCTTGAACAACTTAAGTTTGCCTATCTGGTCCTGGGTCTTCAGCTATGAAATGTAGCCAAAAATTAATGTTTTAGGGCCAATCACTTCTGTCAAAGTCATTAAGGCTCCACTTCAGTGATAAGTCACAACTGATTTGCGTAGACACCTTGCAGGGTATAAATCCAACGATTAAGAGTTCAGACTGCTGGGTTTGGAACAGACGGCCAGAGCACAGAAGCACAGATTTCTGTCCAGTACCCTACTCAAAAAGCGGAAGGGAGAGAGAGAGAAAGAAGGAAAAGAAAGATAGGAAGGGGTAGGGAGGAAGGAGAGAGGAGTCCAGGGGAGGGGAGAGAGAGGGAGACAGAGAGGAAGAGACTGGGTGTGTGTGTGGGGGGGGGTGAGTGAGGAGGAGGATGAGTCACACAGTGGTTCAAGGTTGTAGCCACTTTTCCTGGGAAGGACGCAGCAATATTACTGCAAGCATGAAGGAGACCCACAAGCTACAGAATGGGGCATTGCAACCCTCCAACCTCGGAAAGATGTACAGACCCATGATGTATATTCAGGACAGGGGGACAGGAGTATTGGCGCATTCCGAGGATGACAGAGGTTCCAGAGGCTTCTGCTTGAAGACTTTTGAGATGCAGAGTCCTCTGAAGGGAAAAGGATTGGGATCCCCAAAACAACAGTGGAGCAAAGAGGAGTTACAGCATCTGTCCCCAAGAGTCCTTTTCCTGCGTGCCACTGCTCACTGGGTTCTTGCACCACAGGGCTGCCTGCCTCGCCCTCATCCTTACTCCCACGCGGGTCTCCGCTTGGCCCACCGCGCCCCCACCCGGCCGGTGTCTCGGAATTCCCCCAGACCCACCCAGTAACGGTTTTTGGATCGGCAGCTTCCGACCCCTCCCCCTTTTCCTTTCTCACTGGAGCCGCAGTGCTGCGCGCTTCAGAGAGGGGCCATCCGCCCCGGAACCGACGTGAGCGGCCCGGGGCGGGGTTAGTGGAAGCAGCCCAGGGATCCCCCAGTTCCAGCAGGGTCCTCTCGGTCCTACACCTCGCACTCACGCACGACTTGCCCACCCCCACCCCCCAGTCCCGCGCTTGTTCCCAGCCTCCTTGCCCAGCTCGGCGCTCCTCCCCGCCTCCCACCCAACCCCCGCGCGCTTGGCACGCGCAGCCGAACTCGGCGCCGCCTCCATCAGAGCCGAGCCGGCGGCTCCGCTGAACAGCCGCCTCTGCGGCCGCCGCGCCGGTCCTCCGCGTCCTGGTCCCGCCCTCCTAGTCCCTGTGCCCCGGTTCCCCTTCCCGTCCTCCTCCTTCCTCCCTCTCCAGCCTCCCCTTGAGCTCTCTCTGGCTGCAGTCCGCGCCCGGCCCGCCACCGGGCGGGCAGGAGGACGGCGGCAGCTCCACCATGAGCGACGAGGGCAGCAAACGGTGTAGCCGGGCGGATAGCCTCGAAGCTGAGCCACCTCTGCCCCCGCCGCCCCCACCCCCGCCTCCGGGAGAGTCGTCCCTGGTTCCCACCTCCCCACGCTACCGGCCGCCGCTACCCGCGCCTCTAGAGCGCATCGTAGGGTCGGGCGAGCCCCCGGTAGAACTGGCCCCTCGGCGCAAGGGCGCAGGTGAGCCGCTGCCGCCGTCTCTGTTGCCCGGCGACCAGGAGGTGTCGGCAGCGGGCGACTCCCACGAAGGTCCTAGGTGCCTTCCGGAGGTGAAGCTCCCCGAGGCTGCGGCCGGGAAAGGCAGCCCGGGGGAGCCCGAGGCCGGCGCGTGCCGGGAGGGCGAGCGGCGAGACACGGGAGACCAGCCTGAGACACGCTCCGTGTGTAGCAGCCGCAGCAGCAGTAGTGGTGGCGGTGGCGACCAGCGCTCGGGGCATCAGCACCAGCATCATCAGCCCATTTGCAAGATCTGCTTCCAGGGCGCGGAGCAGGTAAGGCCGGAGGGACCCCAGGTCTGCTGGCTGTGAGCGCTGGACCGGGCCGGCAAGGGTAGAGATTTCAGCACCACGGACAGCGCACGCCTCCCAACTGAGCCTAGCTCTCCAGTTCTTTTTTTCTGAGAAGGCAGATAGTGTCCTGGTGGCGAATACAGAAGTAAATTAAACTATGCCTTTTCTTCCTACCTTGTTCTGAAGTCAGGTACTCCTCAGGTACTATAATGGTAACATCATTAAGGGTTTTTTTGTGAATTACTCAAAAAGATTTTAGTTTATAAGTAGAATCAAGCCTATAGGATGCAAAGGTCTGACGTCTGCGTTCTGTTAGTGTATCCAGAGAACTTAGTCTCAGAATACAAATGAGGCAGAGGATAACTCGTGCTATATCAATACCAATATGAGGTATGCAATACCAAAGGAGAATATTTTTTATTACACATTTTTAATGAGAAAGATGCTACAGTTCTCGCAAAAGAAAGTACTTGAAAAGAAAGGGTATTTTAGCCGACTGGTGTCCTTGATGCTTTGTCAGAAACACGTTTTAAAATCATAAACATCATTAAAGGCCCATGCAAACTTCCACAAGAATCATCACGCAGCGGGGAAATGATAATGCGTCTCCCTTGCAAAGTGTGTGAAAACATTAGCTATAATGTCTTTAAAAGTTAGGAAGTTGCATAAGAAAGAATACGCAGGCTTTCAGGAAATAGTGCCCCGAGTCAATATTTATGATGCTACATTTAGAAAAAGTAAAAGCACAGGCCACTCTGAGCTGCTTTCCGCCATGCACTTCTCCTTTAGCAATGATTAAGAATAACTGCAGAGGAAATGCATCTGACCATCCACTTAAAAGTTATTAAAGAGATTTAATAGTAGAGCTTTTCCCCAAGGGCATTGGGGGCTGTATCTTGCAGACATTTTGTATGTCAGTGGAACATTTATGTCATAACTCTAAGCACTATCTTAGAAATAGTTTTTCTTTTAAGACTTTAGTATCATTCCCATCAGAGATATAAAAATTTAATTTGGTTTTCTGGGATGGAGCTTGATGCTTGTATCCTTCTGGGTAAACCGAATATACAGAAAAGAAATCAAGCTTAGGGTTTTTAAGTAGAGGCAGAAACACAGATATTCACATCAGCCTGCTTTTTTTTTCCCCTCCCAGGGTGAGTTGTTAAATCCTTGCCGATGTGACGGGTCTGTTCGGTACACACATCAGCTGTGTCTTCTAAAGTGGATCAGTGAAAGGGGCTCCTGGACCTGTGAACTGTGCTGTTACAGATACCACGTCACAGCCATTAAAATGAAGCAACCTTGCCAGGTAGACACGATGCTTAAACAATCTCCTTGATGCTACTTAAGAATATTTAATGCAAGTCGCAATAAGACCAAGATGTAGAAGTTTGTAGGCTGTGTTTACAGAAAGCCATGACATCCTAGCTGAGAAACTCCAAGGGCATTTTAACCAAATGATTTCCTTTAGAATTTGTTACTTACTGATTAAACTATACCCAGTTCTGATTCTTCAAGGCTAAGTTGATAAAAATGAATCCGTGTGAGTCTGTTTTATTAAGAAGAGATGCTATACAGCTTATTTAGCAGACATTTGTACAGTTTTAAGCCATACCTAGGCCAGTTTGTGGGAAAGAGATGCAAATGAAGAAGTGGCTGTTACCAGTGCGGAAACATCCAGTTGAATCTGTCAGCTCAACTCTGAGCATTCTTCCTGCTTAAGTTTTCTGTTCCATAAGATTTTTTACAATTTTGACCCCATGAATTCTTGGAGCCATTCAGTTGCATACCAGATGCAGCCATGTTCCCCTGCTCTCCGTAATGCTTCTGAAGTTCTACATAGTTTCAAATCTTTGTGTAAAATCACAGTGACACGATAGCATAAGTATGCAGTTAAACGCCCCCTTCCCTTATTTTTTCTGGGTGGAAGTGACTCAAGTTCTTTGAATAGGCTGATGGAGTATCAAATGCAGAATATTAAGAAGATATCTTAGAGGAAAGTGGGGAAATATGTAACAGAGATCTGGCAGGAGATGGAGCAGAGAGATATAACAACCATGAAAAAGGCAATGGAAAAATTGAAAGGAGAAACATGACAGAACCCAATGGCCCTCACCACTAGGTTTGCCCATGATGACTAGGTTTGCCCATGACCACTAGGTTTGCCCATGGCCACTAGGTTTGCCTATGACCACTAGGCTTGCCCATGGCCACTAGGTTTGCCCATGACCATTAGGCTTGCCCATGACCACTAGGCTTGCCCATGACCACTAGGCTTGCCCATGACCACTAGATTTGGCCATGATCAAACTCAATTTACATTGAGCTATATTATTTAAATTACTGAGTATTCAATTGGTACCCTATATGCAATTAATTTGCATCTCTGAAATTTGCATTCAAGGCATGATTAGCAATAATGAAATGAAAAAGGGAATTTTCTTCACCTTGGGCTTACAAATTACTTAAAAAGGGGAAACTAACCTGATGAGAGGGATGACCACACGGAAGTCAGTCGTAGACCTTTTCCAGTTCATGGATCAGTTTATGCAGTCCTGAAAAACAGTTGGAGCCATGTCCAAAGGTCATGGCCTGGTTGACATTGTTGTATTTCTGACAATATTATAAATAGAATATATGAGAGGCTAGGCATAGGAACTTTTTCTCCCCATTAGTGAGCCTAGAGAGAAAGACGTGTGGAGCTACAGCAGAAAGTTAAGTATTTCAAAAAACTTCAATTGAGAGCTCGTATACAAATATTCTCTTTTAACATTAATTTTGCAGCAAATACAAATAGGCTCTTTATTAACACTGAATAGACAGACATAAAAGTCTAGGACAAATAATACTGTTTATAGTAATTGCAGTCCTATGGCAAAAAGAATTTGTGCCTTTAGTTTTATTAATTTCATAAAATAATCAGTCATTATTTTAACAAAAGCAATTCTCCAAACAGTTTTTCCTCAAAACAATTAAAACCCTCCAAATTAAGCCAACACTCCTAATGTATTTAAGATGGTGATATATGATTGGTGACATTATCTGGTTATTACTCTAAGATGGAAAGTAATATTTCAAAACCAGGCTCATGCATGCTATGCTAGTATCATGTTGTATCATGTCAGAGATGAAAGAACTTTGAAGACTACGTCTAATACATATAAAGCTTGGTACTCATTGTCTTAAGGTGTTAGGGACTGAGCCAAGGCCACACATGTACATGACAAACACTCTACCACTGAGTTGTACTCTAAATCCAAGCTTGATACCCTTACCTTACTGAAATTGGCCATGACACCCAAAGAATAGGCTCTTAGAACCCAGATGAAGAGACATAGCTTCGTTCCCAGCCTGTCATTTGTGTTTTGGTTGACCCACAGCCTGAGCATCCACTCTGCCTCTTACTGTGAGGTCCATGGGAGGCACTATTTCCATGTCCCTATGGCCTGATTCAAAGCCACATCCTATTGGCATAGACTCACACTGGAAGCCTGTTCATGGTTCTTCTTTTCCCTGTCTAGCACTCTGTTCCCCATGAATAGGGTCCTTTCATGACTGTGAGCAGACAGTTCACTGGACTAGAAGAGAATAGAGAATAAAATGGATCACAGACATGTTAGTTAGTCTGTGCCAGCCACTGTTCTAAATGCCTTATACACACAGATACCACTGTTGAGTCTTTGTAACATACTAGTAATCCGATCAACACTATTACCTCAACATTACACAGTGTGGAACTAGAACACAGCCAGTCTCTTCTAGGGATTTATCCGGATTCTAACTCAGTCAGCCTGGCTACTGGGCCTGTGGTATTAATTAAGCAGGAATTCTAGGACGTTCTCTTCAGTCCTCTACTAGCCTGTCTTGATGTCTCAGGGTCTTTCGTGAGTTTTCCTATGTGGTATTTGAAGCAAGCAGAAGCTAGTTTTTTAAGAGTAGAAAGTCTTTTGCTGTATAACAAACCTAAATTCTTAGTGATTGAAACAGCCACGATAACTCATTACCTCACGAGACTCTGTGTCTCAGTTGAGGTCGGTGGGAAGCTTTGTTCCACGTAAGGGATTACCTGGAACTGTAATCCAGAGGTGTGGCCTTGTTAGCACCCTTGATGACTTCCCTGTTTGACTTGTTCTTGGAGGTGGCTATTCCTTGGGGCTCAGTTCCTTGAGTACCTCAGTTCGCCTCCCACATCCTGTGCTTCTAGCACAATGAAATATGTCCTTTTCGGAGGATGCAAGTGGGCACTATGAACGTACTAAGGCTTGACCTTGGAAGTGACATGATTTCATATCTGCCGCATCTGCTTATTTAAAGCAAATTTAGTCTCACTCACTCTGATTCAAGAGACAAGCAAACTACTCTACCTCTGGAGGCTGACCTGTCTTTAAAGAAAGACCATTTTTTCACACTTCTCAGGGGAAAGTATCTAGTGTGACTCACATCCCTACCCTGATCTCTTTCTTTGGTCTTCTTCAGGTCTATGTGGACCAGTAGGCATTGCTGTAACTTTCCCCTCGGGGGCTATCAGTCCCTGGAAGCTTGACTTGGCCCTGCTGTTTGATACATTCTATCAAGCACTTTCCAGGACTTTCTGCTGACATCATGTCTTCCTTATTGGTCACTAGGAGATGGGGATGGACAGTGAAGGCCAAGGAGCAGATAGGCAGGAAAAAGACGTGTGCAAGCAAAACCTGGCACAGAGTGCCTCACAGACACATGTGAACAAAACCTGCTGCAGAGTGCCTCACCCCTTAGTTTTAATCACTTTTCTGTCCTTAAGGTTCAAATTCTCCCACTTCCTGTCTGTTTCAGTTGTGCTCAGTGGTAGAACATCTGAGAAAGTGAACGGACACATTTACATCCTAATTACTGCATCATTAGTAGTAGGAGTTAAGACACTTGGGGCACGTAAAATGCATTTACCTTCCTCCCTGCTTGTAAAATCTACTTACTAAACGATATATTATTGAGTGATATATTTATATATCATTAATAAATATGTCACTATACCACTATTATATTCTATATGTCATTGTTAAATGATATATTAATGGTATTTTAAGAGTAAAAGCTAATTCTGTTTTGAAGCACTTATTATGTCTGAAAACTGAGATGTATGAGCGTATACAATGACATTTAATTCAAGCTGTTGGTGGCATTGTACACTGACAAAGCAACGTTGTAGCTTGTGAATGCTGTCTGTGATATGTCTCTTTGAGGGGTCACATTTACAATGTAATGTGCCATGTGGGAAACTGTACTTTTGACATAAAACTCAGACTACAGTGCCTCCAGATAGGAAAATATATGAGAAGTTCCAACAATAATATTAATGTACATAAGAACTAACTTATATTTAATAGTTTTTAACCTTTATTTTTTTAATGTGTGTGTGTGTGTGTGTACACATACACATGTGCATATGTCATGGCATTCTTATGGAGGTCAGAGGAAAGACCACTTGTGGCAGTTGGTTCTTTCCTTCTGGAATGTGAGTTTTGAAGATCAAACTCAGGTCCTCGGGGCTGGGTAGCAGGTGCATTTATCTTCTGAGCCATCTCTCTAGCAATGACATCTTTAAAAAGATGAGGATGGCACCTACACCATATTGTACTTTGAGGATTAATGTCCTAAATATACATGGCAGGCTTAGAATGGCTCTTCCTCCGCTGGGACTAGCATCCCTGTTACCTGTTCATCCTGCTAAGACCAAGGCCTGGTCTCCTCTGAGAAGAGGGGCCCCTTGTTCCCTTATCTCTACTGTTACCAAATCGAGGTTACTGCCCTCTTTTCTACATAGGTCTTTACGTTTTATTTTTGACTAATTAATAATAATTGTATACATATAAAGGGTATTAGATGTGTCAGTGCATGGATACATAGTAGAATGATTAAATATAGCTAGTTGATGTATTCATATCAGATATTTCACATTTTTGTGGTAGGATTATGTAAAACATGGTATTTTAGCTTTTTTGAAATATACAGAATGTTGTTGAAACTACTCCCTGCATTGAACTGTAGCTTTGTAGTCAGTGACCACTGTCTCCTCTTTCCCACACTCCACCCCTAGCCCATCTTCTGATAATTGCCCTTCTGCTCTCAACATGTAATAAATCAGTATCTTGTGGATTCTGCACAGAAGTGAAGTCATGGGCTATTTATTACCCGATTTCAGGCTCATTTCACTCAACATGATACCCTTAAGCTGCATCCATATTGTGGAAAGTAACGGAAGTTCTTTTAGTTCTTTTGGCTTTTTTCCTACTAAGACTGACTAGTGTTTCTCTATATATACACATCGTCTTC